AATGGTATGGTTTGTATTAACTTGTAAAATTGCAAATTAATTATTGTGCTTTTTCCGTTAGTCTATTCATCACTAATCAAAACTTTTGTATATTTATATGATTATGTCTCTATGATTGCATTCTTTTGTATATTTTCCATCAAACTTGCAAATTTTCTTTTCAGTTTTACACTAACCATTTAGTCTCTATGATTATATGTGCATACACACGGTTTCATACGGTAAAATTACAAAAATATTTTTGCTATTAGTTGTAAATTTGCTCCACTGCACCAATTCCACAATCACTTAGCTTTATGATTTCATACTACAAAAATATCTGAAACGTGGAAAGTATGATTTTATGATTTTTTGGTAAATCTAGATTTCAATTTTACTGGTTCATTTTATACTTTGCACATATGGGTTGGAAATAAATTCCTTTTAGATTTTGGACTGTTTCGAAAAATCAATTTACTGAGCAAGGTAAGCTAGGTGGCGCACAGCCTGCCATCAATAAAATCGCAAGCGGGATAATAAGTGCGGGACGGGCAAAGAGATCTATTGCTCAGCTTAATGATGTTAGAGAAAGGTAAGTGAATCTCTTTGTTATCTTTGGTTTCAAATAATTTTCTTCCAATTATGTCATAAGAAAATGATGTGAAATTGAATTACAACAGATTTAGACAATTAAAAGAGAAAGAGAAGCGTAGCAAGAAGAATAAGGCGGTTGCGAAAGATACACTTGAACCGCTAGAATCTCATGTCTTGAATGAGAAAAAGGGGAAGATGATGATGAGGTAATAGATTCATAAACCGACGACTCTCATTAATGAAAATCGAGCAAATAAAACACATTATTACGGTGAATGATTTGAATTCTTTTTAAAACTGAGGAGTAAGTGTTGGAACAGGAGAAAGAGGTTCGTAAAGGAGCATTAGCTTCGAGCACAAACAAGCTGGTTCGAGACGTTGGTCAACGAAGAAGCAAACAATCAAATCGGAAACGCACTGTATAGAATCAAATAAACAAAATTGTAAATAAGGAAGAAAAGAGAGATTTGATTGTATTTTAGTTTGATCTTAATATATTTGCATATACCAAGTCCGGGAATAACCAAAATTATGGCAAAAAAGATCATTCGAAAATTAAAAGCAGCAGTTGATCAAACTACGTAGTTTTTGTGCCTTAAAAGCATTCCTTTCCCATTACTTTCATAGTTTAAAAATGGAGTATGCACACATAAAAGCACGACATGTTTTGTTGAATTAAACATTAGTGCTTAAAACATACGAAATGTTTTAAAAAAAAATTAGGAACATACTACCATACCCAAGAAACTTCTAGATTTTCAGTCAAAATTGATGTTTTATACAAATGTAGATTCTTCTATGTTGACTTATATATGTAATAAATGTGATATATTTATTACATAGCAAATAAAAAAACACAAAATTTACGAAATTATCAAAATAATATATTTGAAGTGATAAATATGAATAATATAAATACAATAACTATTTTTCAAATCCAAATTCATCAAGTAGTAAATGGTTTTTACTTTCTACTAATGGTTTGTGCCAAATTCTTCGGTCTCACTCTATGAGTATTCAAGTTTGATATTTCAGAGACTTAGTTTGTTTTATCCGAGAGCATGGTTTGTTTACTCTGTTTGTGATGAAATTCATAGGTACCCTTTCTGGATACTATACTTGAATAAAGGTTTGGTTTCGATCTCAAGTTAAATTCA